ATCAGAGCAATATTTGGTATTCCATGTGGATAAGAACAACATTCTGCTAGAACTCTGAATCACTTGTCAATGCTGTGTACAGCTCAAGATCTTCTCTCTATTTTAAATATTTCTGTCACATTCAGCATTAATAGCATCTATTTTTATCTACCAGTAGCCCCTAAACCCTTGCCTGTTCCATAATATTTTGTTTACGCTGCCACTGTTCATGATCCTTACTTGATTTCATTACTTTGCACTTGTCCACAGTCAATGATAAATGAAAATCATTAGTCCAACTTCCCACTTTATCTGAAGTGTACCATCTCCAATCTTGGATAGTATTGTTTCTGTTTTCAGCTGCAAATTACTTAAGTGCTTTGTAAAACAGTCAGTCAAACACTAATGCCTGAGGCAATCTACTTATTAGCTCTGCCCAAGCCAGTGCAGTTCCACGTACAACCACGCTTTGTTCTGTCTATTCAATTTCAAAGCCATTTCAGAATCACTGTACCTTTCCTGTTTCTCCAAATCTTGTGGTCCAATCTCCTGTTCAGCACTAAATGAGAATTTTACCAAATTGGAAGTAGAGATCTTTGCTTATGATTGCAGTTTTCAGTTCCATTCATAACGCTGAAGATATTGAAGCAGTCCAGTTTACCAGCACCAAATACGTGTTTTCTTTCCTGTTATTTACATTGCACTAACCCAATTATTCCTACTATGTTGATGACAGTTCCAACCAATTCTACACTTTGTCTCTTTTGGTTTGAGACTTTCTATACTCAATGACTTCAAATAAAAAAATTAAACTAATAGTTTTCCCCTAGGATTTCATTTGATTTTGACCAGCTTATCCAATTCTAATTTGTTTTAATGTCTTTGCCTTCATTAACACTTCTTTATGTACATTTCTGTGTTCTACATCATTGCAAATTTACTTGGCTAAATAATAATATAATATGCAAAGTCTTTGGGATACTAATAGGATATAGAATGCACAGCGTGAAAATGTGATGGAAGCAGGTTCAATTGAGGCAACCGATGGCATTGGATGATTATTTAAGTGGAAGTAGCGTGCATAGGTAGGAGATTGGCATTAAGTACGGGTATACTTTTAAAGAGCTGGCGCAGGCTGTTGTAAGAAACATCAACATTCCATTTACTTTACCTGCACTTGCTGTACCTGCATATTAACTTTTAGTGTCTCAAGTGCGAGGTACACTGAGTCCTGCAGTCTCTTTCCACGCAAAGTACTGTATTTCTGATCTTCCTGGCAGTGTAAACAGGTTCGCATTTATTATGTTTTACTTAATTTTGTCAAATTGTTGTTCCATCACTTGGCCTCCTCCAGACAACTGACCTACCTGCCCATCCTGGGGTTATCTGCAAATTTAGCTCTCATTCAGTCTCCTCATCCACATCATTCAGAGAAATAAAGGAGAAAAGTGAGATAGAAATTGTATTATCCTACCAAAAGATAATCAGGCACTTGAATGGGGAGCAAATGTTTAACTTTCCTGTTCTAACCAACTCAATTGCTGACTATTGTGAGAGAGGAAAGTTTACCAGACTGATTCCTGGGATTGTGAGACTGATATACGGAGAGAGACTGGATTGATGATGACTATGTTCACTGGAGTTTTGAAGAATGCTACAAAATTCTAACCGCACTAGACAGGGTAGATACAGGAAGGATGTTCTGAATTGCCTGGGAATCTAGAACTGTGGGTCACAGTTTAAGGATAAGGGGTAAGGACAGAAATGAGGAGAAATTCTTAAGTGATTGGTGAGCTTGTAGAATTCTCTACCACATGAAACTGTTCAGGCCAAAACATTGAAGACTTTGAAGGATGATGCAGATACAGTTCTTCAGCCACAATCATGTTGAATGGCCTACTCCTACTCCTGTTCCTATGTTCAGTTTTCCTATTTCTATGTTGCTATAACATTGCCTCCTTTTTTAATTTGAAAAAACTATCTAACTCAGCCTTAAAATATTCAATGACCCAATCTCTAGGCCTGTGTGGGGGGAAAAAAGAATTCCACCGACTGACTACCCGTGTTGAGAAAAAAGTTCTTCTCATCTCCGCCTTACATGCGAGTCCCCTAATTTTCAAATGGTGTTCTGTAGTTAGTTCTAGGCTCTCCAAGAAGGGGAAATATCCCTTTGGCATTTACTCTGTCACGTTTTCTTAGGATTTTATGCATTCGATAAGATCACCTGTCACAGTCTTCTAAGCTCCAATTTAACTGTTGTGGTTGGTTCGCTCACTGAGCTGGTTCGTCAGTTTGCAGACATTTCATTACCCTGCTGGGTGACATCATCAGTGCAGCCTCCGATGAAGCGCTGTTGTGTTTTCCCACCTGGTATTGAAACTCTGGGGTCTATTGGAATTGGTTACCTCATTTCCAGTTTTTCTTTGCAGTGGTGTATATATAGGGTCTAACTCTACATGTTTATTGATGGCCTTCTTGGTGGAGAACCAAGCCTCTAGAGATTCCCATGCTTGTCTCTGTTTGGCCTGTCCTAGGATTCTGATGTTGTCCCAATCGAACTGGTGGCTCTCCTTTTCCGTGTGAATGGAGATGACTGAGTACTGGTCATGTCTTTTTGTCGCTAGTTGGTGTTCATGTATTCTTGTGGCCAGTTTCCTTCCTGTCTGTTGCAGTCTTTGCATAGGAGCTTGTATATCACGTTGGTTCTATCCATAGTGGGTAAGGGGTCTTTGGTTCGAGTTAGCAGTTGGGGTAATGTTGATAGGTTTGTGTGCCACTCTGATGCCCAATGGTCGTAGGAGTGTTGTGGTTATTTTGGATATGTTCTTGATGTATGGTAACGCGACGAGTGTGTCAGGGCGTACTGTATCTTCCTGTTGCTGTTTGTGTGATAGGCATCATCGGACCCTGCTGTTTGGGAGTCCGTTGTCCCTAAATACTTGGTAGAGTTATTCTTCTTTGTTTGGGCGTTGTTCCGGGTTGCTGCAGTGTGTTGCCACTCATTTAAATAATGTTTTTACGCAACTCCGTTTGTGGGTGTTGGGGTGGTTGCTGTTGAAAGTCAGGACTTGATCCGTGTGTGTGGCCTTTCTGTGTACCTTTGTCAGAAATTCCCCATTGGCCCTGCGTTCTACCATGACGTCCAGGAATGGGAGCTGTTCATTCTTTTCTTCTTGGTGAATTTGATGCCCGTGAGAGTGTAGTTTATAAGATGGTGTGGCTCCTCTAGTTTACTACATTTAGTACGGTTTAGTTTAGTACGACCATTGGGCATCAGAGTGGCACACAAACCTAAGTCAACACTACGCCAACTGCTAACTTGAACCAAAGACCCACAATAGACAGAATCAACGTGATATACAAGATCCCATGCAAAGACTGCAACAAACATTACATTGGACAGACAGGAAGGAAACTGGCCACAAAAATACATGAACACAAACTAGCTGGGGTGAACTGGCTGAAGACTGACATCTTGATGCTAGGGACCTAAGGAGGCTGCAATATGGATCTGGCTGAAGATGTTGGAAATGTGTTAACAAGGTGCAGAGCTGGATGAACACAGCAGGCCAAGCAGCATCATAGGAGC